TTTAGATGAGAGGAATAAGCTGTAGCCAATCCCTCTTTACTTGGGGTCACACTGGGGGCAGAAGGCCTCAGCACAGAGCACACTTATAGAATCACAGAATAGTTTGGGTGGGAAGGGACCTAAAGATCATCTAGTCCAACCCCCCTGCCGTGGGCAGGGACATCTTCAACTAGATCAGGTTGCTCAGAGCCCCGTCCAACCTGACCTGGAATGTTTCCAGGGATGGGGCATCCACCACCTCTCTGGGCAACCTGGGCCAGTGTTTTACCACCCTCAGCGTAAAAAACAGCACTTCCAGGCCAGGAGAGTGGTACCAGCCCGTGAGGGTCAGCAAATGCTGTCCTACAGGGCTCGCAGGCGTCCCTGGAGCCTTGCCACTCTGGCACTGCGTGAGGGGAAGGGTGTCCAGGCACTCGCTGGCCTTGGGCTGCCTATTGCCCAGGAGCCTGAGCAGGTCCCAGGGCCCTTTTGAATCCCAGAGGCTTCAAAAGGTGGTTAAGGAGCTGGATTATAAACTCTTTGTGCCTCAGTTTGCCAGCTGGGCTTAACAGCGCTGCTGGGTCTCCTCGAGCGGCTGTGAAGCGCTTGGCTCCGCAGGCTTCATGTGGCCCGAGCCGCTAGTGGCCGGTGGTGGCTGACTGCAGGGTGAGGGTTTTCCAGGCTGCCTTCTTCCCAACAGAAATTGCGATCATCCAAACCTTCATCCAGCTGTTCAAAATAGTACGCCCAGGTTTTCCTCCTTCTGCTCAGAGGAGAATCCTGGGTGCTGTGTCTACGCTTCTGAGACGAGCCTCACGAGCTCTTTGTGGAGCAAACAAGGCTGAAGCAGCCGTCATGTCGGAGCCCTTTGAGCTGCCCTCAAAGGCAGCGCAGGCAGGCTGTTCTTAAACCAGGCTCCCGGCAGGGTCTGCTGCTCTGCCAGGTTGCCCACTAGAGCTGCCTTCTCGCCTGCTGGGACCCCCATGCACACAGCCCCCCCACCAGCACCAAAGCTGTTGTACCAGGTACGTGAAGAAGCGCTGACATAAAGGTCCAGCTGTTTGGTTTGTCTCAGGATTGCTCCCCAGGCACCTCTGCCTCCCAGGCCGGGGGTCTGGCTGGGGCACCCATCTTCCTGCCCTGCTTTCACCTCGGCCACCGCCTGGGAGTGACAAAGAAACCCGGTGCCCTGCCGTGATCCCTGCGGCCGCAGTTGGCTCCGTCCCCTTGGCTGGTTTTGTTGTCCTTGCAGTGCATCACGGCCCTTGCACGGGCTGTGCACGCTCAGACCAGTGGACGCTGGACTCCTGGGAGGAGCAGCTTGCTGGGTGCTGCTGGCAGGAGCCATGCGGCGAGGACGTGGCTAGGCTGGGCAGCCACAGCTCCAGTAAGGAGCCTGAGCCTGCTGTTAGAGATCGCATACCTGGCACCAGACCATTGGCCAACAGGTCCAGACAGGACTTGAGGGACCCTAGCCACATTGGAAAAATAGTGGCAGGGAAGCTGGCTTAGCTGGAGACTCACCGGTATCCACAGACAGAGGTAGAACCATCCCCTAGGATGCTTTTGAGCGTCTGCCTCCGGGCGAAGCCACCCAGGAAGCTGTGAGCAGAGCCAGGAGGGAACCAGGCACAGCCCTCTCGTCGCCATCCTCAGCCACGCGGCCAGGTCACGCCCCTGGACTCCGCAGTCCCCTCAGGGTCTCCACGGCTGGCCCAGAGGATGGTCACAGCTGTGTCTGGGCCCTGATGCTGGAAGTTCAGGCTGAGGGTGAGTGGGAGCTCTCAAGGGACCTCATCCTTTTGCCAAAGTCCTGGGAGCTGGGAGGGACCAAAGGGATCACATCCATGTAGGGATGCTGCAATATCAGAGGGTATGTGCTGGTTTTGGCTGGGATAGAGTTAATTTTCTTCCCAGTAGCTGGTATGGGGCTGTGGTTTGGATTTGTGCAGAAAACAGTGTTGGTAACACAGGGATGTTTTCGTTATTGCTGAGCAGTGCTGACACAGGGTCAAGGCCTTTTCTGCCTCTCACCCCACCCCACCATCAGCAGGCTGGGGGGGCACAAGAAGTTGGGAGGGGACACGGCCGGGACGACTGACCCCAACTGACCCAAGGGATATTCCACACCATACGGCGTCATGCTCAGCGCACAAATCTGGGGGAAGAAGGAAGGGGGGGACGTTTGGAGTGATGGCGTTTCTCTTCCCAAGTCACCGTTACGCGTGATGGAGCCCTGCGTTCCTGGAGCTGGCTGAACACCTGCCTGCCCATGGGAAGGAGTGAACGAATTCCTTGTTTTGCTTTGCTTGCATGCGCGGCTTTTGCTTTACCTGTCAAACTGTCTTTATCTCAACCCACGAGTTTTCTCATTTTTACTCTTCCAATTCTCTCCCCCATCCCACCAGGGGGGAGTGAGTGAGCATTCCCCTTCGGATTCTCTCCCCCATCCCACCGGGGGGCAGTGAGCGAGCGGCTGGGTGGGGCTTAGTTGCCGGCTGGTGTTAAACCACAACAGCATAACAAGCCAACTGAGCTGCCTCCTGCCCTCCCTTCCCACCCAGGGCAGAACTGGCTGGCTAAATCCTCCTTCAGCTCTTGGCAAAAAGGGAAACTGAGGCATGGAGCAGTGGGTGCACAGCTCTGGCCCCTGTTCTGTGGCCTTGCCAAGCTGCACCATGGCAAAGCTTTGCCATGTTCTCTGGCAACCCGGTAAGCAACAAGCCCTGCAGCCACCATCCTGCCCCATGGCACACAGCTCTGGCCACGCTGCCTCACTCATGCTTGGTCGCCTGAGGGACCGACTGGCTCCCCTGCCCTGTGGCTGGCCCAGGTCATGCGGGGCACCTTTGGGGTTTTGCTGTCTTCCCGGGTGGGAAGGCTCCTGGCAGCAGCCCAGCACGGGGACTGTATTTCTCATCCCCTTGCTTGGTCCTGGCAGTCCCTCGGGAGCAGGCTCCATCCATTGCAAGCTGGGTTTCTCCAGCAAGCGTGGCCTTATGCGGGGTGTCCAGGCATTGGGGCTGGCACGCGTACAGCCCCTTTTTCAGCCGAGGCGTCTTCTCCAGGCAGATCCTGGCGGAGCATGTAGATGGGCAGAGCCAAGAAATCATCTGTCTCAGAGCCACGCTAGGCAGACCCGCTGCACGTCCTCTGCCCTGCTTCTACCTGACCACGCAGGGCCTGAGCGGGCAGGGAGGGCCCGGCTTGCTGGGCTTGTCGAGGGTACCTCACCCCCAGGCACAGAGGGATGAGCAGCCCAACATGTGATGTCTTGCACCAAAAACCCCATGCAAGTTGTCCCGGGACTGCACCCTGCCCCTTTCCCAGAGCTCCAGGGGGTCTGGCACGTCCCTTGGGGTTGGAGAAACACTTCTGCGGAGTGCTTGGGAGGAATGTGGGCATGAAGGGCATCAGCAGGCACCGCAGATGGCTCTCGGTGCGAAAGTACTGGATGGAGCAAAGGCAGGGAGGCTTCCTGCACTGTGGGACTACCGAATGTCGGAGTTCCCCAGGCCTGACCTCCTCCTCTTCTACCTCCACATCCCGAGTGGGTGGAAAGTGAGGGTGTTCGTGTGTGACTGCGCAGTGGGGTCCATCAGGCTGGAGGGTACCGTGGAAGTCCTGCGCATACTCCTTGTGCCTGCAGAAGCCATCGGATTAGCCAGGCCACGCTGGCTGGATGTGCTGGACCCAGCGCGCACACACACACTCGTGGCTGGGATTTCCAAAGCCCCGTCCAACACCACAGGATGTCCAAGGGCAGACTGCGCACCGTGCCCAAGACTCAGGATAATGCAGCTTACTCCAGAGGAAAATGCTTTATCTGATATGAATCAAAGCAGATTAAAAAAACCACCCACGGATTAATGAGAGACATACATTACAAAGAAAATGGGAAGTATGTCACAGGACTGTGGTTTCAGTCAGCTGTTTCCAGTAAACATGATGCACAGGAGGTTTTGGTGGGCAGTTGCTGCAGGAGGTTGGGGATCGTTGTCACGGGCAGCACTTGCTGCAAGAGGAAGGGGCTTGGGGAAGGGGGACCGGAGCCCCGAAGCGGTGGTGCGGGGCTGGGCAGCGCTGGTGCTTTACAAGCAGTCGCTTCGCAGAGGCTGCGGCAGGTCTGACTCACTTATCTGGAGGTTGAGCTCTGCTGAGCTGAGGGTCGTGGACAGGTTGTGAGGCTGGTTCCCCTCGTACACGGCGTACTCCTCGTGACGCTGCTGCCGGAGGTGCCAGAGGATGTCTCTGGACAAGAAGTGGGTCTCTGCGTTGCCCAACTCTGGAACAGAAAAAAGACAAAACCCACCTTCACTGGTCTGGCCCAAGGCAGGGTTCTGGGCAGGGAGCTGAGCAGAATCTCTGGGAGATGCCACAAAATATGCGGAATTTCCTGAGAAGTCAAAATACGGTTCTCACTTCCTCCTTTCAGCACGCCAGAAGAAAGAAAATACAACACAAAGTGCAGGAAGGAGAGGAAAATACAGGCAGTATGTGCTGGTTTCCCATAGTGCTTGTTGTGATAGGAACTACCTCGCCAGATAGAAATGCTTCTCCCCATCAGGGAGAGCGCTGAATTTCCTCCGAAAAACAATGAGATTCATTTCAGCAAGAAGCAGCGAGCTGTTTTCAAGCCCTGCTGCTCTGGCAGAGGTGAGGAGAAGGGAAATTAAAAGGAAGAAGGGATGGCCTCGCTCCTTCTCGTCCCCTGTCAGGAGGAACGCCGCTGAGCCAGCACACACACCAACACCCGTCCGAATGCTGGGGAGGGCTTGACAGCCCCAGCCGTTTCTCCCAAGAACATCAGCAGCGAAGGGAGCTGCTCCTTCCCCTGGAAGCCCCCTGTTATATTTAATCCTTGAGGGAGCATTCTTGCTGCCCCAGCGGAAGACTGCTTGCCTCAGGTGCCTCTGGGGACTTCAACAGGGACCAGCTCTGCCAGCAACCTCCCCACTCCTCCGAGACCCACAGCAACAAGTCCTCCTGTCTCGGGATGCAGCCCCTTCCTCCCACCGCGGCAGGGACCTGCATGCCCGTGTGAGCGGGGATATCAGCCAAGCGCTACGTGGATCCTGCCTGCTTCCCCTTGTTTGCCCTGATCCGAGGTCACTCAAGGGGCTGGGGGAGCACAGCCACCGTGCTGGGCACCCCTTCCCTCTTTCCCCTCCTCACTCACCCTCGTACACAATGAGCCGGTAGGTACCCGCGCACTCCTTGGAGCCTTTCAGGATCTCCTCCAACGTCCTGTAGAAAAGCTTGGCCTGCTCCAGGCGGTCCTCCCGGCTGAAGGCAGCACACTCATCCTGGGACATGGCGTAGAGGGACTGCAGCGGGGTGGCGTACTCCACTGCGCAGTGCCAGAGCTGCAGGGATGGAAGAAAAAGACACGGGGGCAGGAGGACCAAGCGCCTGGCAAAGGGCTGCCGGGCGACCCTGGTGCTGGGCAGAGCCCTCGGACCCCTCGGCAGCTCCGTGGCCTGCCCTGCACTGATGCTGTGTGCTGGACCCGCGGGACAGGGACACTGGTTCTGGCCGCAGTGTCCCCCTGCCCTGTGTTGAGCGGGGAAAGAGCAACTGGCCTGGCAGGCAGGTACGGCCGTGCCCCGTGCGCCGGGTGGGCTCCCAGAACTTGCCTCCCCCCCCTGGGGCCCCAGGGTGCAGCCACTGGCTTTGGCAGCACTCCCAATCCGCAGCCTGGGGAGTGATTTTCCCCATGGAGTTTGGTCCTCCGTGGAGACGCCCCTTGCCCGTGTCTGATCACACCTTCTTGGTGGCTTTTCCGCTAGAGAAGGGCAAGTCTGATTATCCTAATGGAGCGTAGGAGAACGGAGAAGAGGATAAATGCTGGCAAGGTGAATGCACAGCTAGAAAGAGGCTGATCAAACAAATGAGGAGAGATTTGTTAAGGCCATAAAAATTCCAAGGAGGAGCAGGGTTACCAGTAAGTCTTATATGGGGCAAACTGGAAAGTTTAATAAAGCGTGTTAGAAGGAAGAGGGACGGGATCCCTGGGTAAATGCGGAGCAGCAGGAGGAGCTACCAGCCTTGGAGGGCAGTTGCCACAGTGACCCGGAGCAGGCGCCAAGGCTGGGACCTACCACCGCTGCCGTGCATGCATTCACCAGCGACCCGGCAGCAAGCTGAGGGACAGATTTTGCTGACAACATTGCAGCGGGTCAGGGCAGGCCCAGGCTGCAGAGCTGCTGGAGCTCACTTGGTGCTGAGTGACTCAGCAGGAGACTGGCGGATGAAACACGGCATCAGTGCATCCATTGCAGCAGGAAAAACCCGATGCTGACTGTACTTCCCCAGGAGCAGGGCCAGGAAAGAGGCTCTGGAGTCCCTGCAGGCATGGCTTTAAAAGCAGCTGCTGAGTAATCGGCCACCGTCAAAGGGCAAATTAGGGAGACCCAGGTGAGAAGCATCGCTCTGCCGATGACACAGCCGAGTCAGCAGGACCAGCGTGTTTCCTCCTCCAAGGGTGCAGGGGCAGAGGCCCATCTGCCTGGAGATGTGGAGGGAGATGAATGCAATGTGAGACGGAGGGATTTAGGGCTCGTCAGCCTGGAAAAGAGGTGACTGGGGGAAGGGGAGAGAGTCAAATTATATAATGACTCACAGACATTTTCAAGCACTTCTTCACAACAAAAGGAAATATTCAGTAGTCCCATGGGAAGTGATGCTCTGGACCCCACATCTGCTTTTTTCTGCTCAGTTTTCTCTGTTTTCTGGACTTAAATCAACTCCAGGAGGGGTTAAGTGAGCCCAACATCCCTGCAAGGGCTGAGGCTGGGAGGAGGCAGCCAGGAGGAAGGGGTGCGGATGGCCAGCACGGACAGGACCTCTCCATCTCGTGGAAGCCTGCTGAAAGCTGGGAGTATCTAATAGGAGAGTGGACACTGTCCTGCCCTTATGGCCACTTCTGGGTCGGGATCTGAGGCCAGGAAGACGTTTGGGCTGAAGCGTGCCCACTGCTCTCCCGACGCTGCACTCAGTATACCTTGTTGTCTTCATCCCTGATTGCGTAGAGGCTGTGTTTGTAGACCCTTTTTTTGGTGCCAGCTCGGGTCAGGGTGGTTTCAGTGAGGTCTGTCAGGTACTGGATATTGCTGTCAGCTTTCTCCAGGTCATCATAGACGTCACAGCTCAGAGGGACCAAGATGTGGAGCTTCCAGGTCTCCCTGCATGCCAGCACGTTGGGGTTGGCTCTGCTGAATTCCTCCATCGACTTTTTCACCCCTGGTAGAAGAAAGCATCGGGCAGAGGTGCCTGGCGTGAGTGCAGCTGCTTTCTACCTTGCTCCCCATTTCCCTGCTAGCACTGTAAAAGTGGGAGGATTGTTATTAGGAGCTATGTCTATCTGTAGGCATGATAAAGCAGGGAAACAGCTACGTACGTGGCAGGACTATTTTTAGGTACCCAATGTAGTAAGACCAGGCAAGCCCATGAGCGACGTTCCGCTTCGACCTCTCAGACATCTCAGACATTTCCACTGCTGAGGGCTTCTGCGGAGGGAAGGAAAGACAGACCAGCGGTGATGAATGCAGCCACCTGGGCTCTTCTGCAACAGTCGCTTCTCTGCAGAGACTGGAGAACAGCCACCCTCTCCAAAGACTCCAAAGAGATCTGGAGAGTGAGCAACCCTGCTGCTCCCTTCCACCACCACGTCGGGCAGCGGGGCCAAGCGTTCTTGATGGCCCGCACAGCCCCTACAGATGAGGAAGCTGATGCCAGAGCGAGCTGGACACATTTCTGGCTGCATCCTCCACTGGGATTGCATGTCCCAGTGCAACTTGTGCATCTGCCCAGTGCTTCCAGTATGCAGGAGGAGACATCGCAGCGCCTGATGGTGGGATTTCCAGGGCCACCAGTGGCCCCTGCCAGCTCTGTGTGTTCATTTAGGTGGAAATGGCTGTTGAAACCCCACAGGCGCCTGACGGCTGCCCTCCCCAAAGCACCTTTCTGTAGCCTGGGCGACCCCTCTCCCCTTCCAGTTCTGCTGGGGTAAAGCAGAGCCCTCCCAGTGCTGCAGAGGTACCCGGAGCTTGGCTCTGCCACCCACAGCATGTCTGATAATTAACCCTTTGGAGACCACACAGGCTACCCTTTACCCCCAAGCACCAGCTTGACTGACGGATTTAAAAATACCCCTGTATTTTGTGTCAGCAGGGCTCTGGCTGCAGCAGGGCTGCTGCCAGTGCCCGGGGGTGGCTGTGCTCATTAAATGGCAGCCTGGCCCTCCTGCCGGTGTGCGTGGCAGTAGGGGGCCAAGGAGATCAGCTCTTCGGGGCTGAGCTAACGAGAGCGTTTCTCCCGCTGCGGGGCTGCGTGCGGGTGGGCTGTACGTGCAGGGGCTGCACAGAGCTGGGCCAGCTGCCCCCACGACCGCTCGGGGCTGCCACACTGCCCGGGATGCCTGGCCAGACTAGAGGCGTTGGTGCCTTACGTGGATCCCCAGAGCGAGGTTGAGGAGCTGGCACAGGCTGGCCAGGGCGAGGTGGAAGCTGAGCGGCTGTCTGTCTCCATTGACAAGAGTCACATAGGCTGAGCCACAGGCGAGCAGCATGGGCCTGTGCCAGTGCAGGGGGAAGCAGGCGCTCAGGGCCCTCCAGAAGCTGCCGTGGTACCTGGGTGGGGAAGGGAGATAGGAGACAGGCTGGCGGCCACCCGTCTGCCCGCCATCCCCACCTGCAGCCCACGGGGCACTGGTCGGGGAATGCTCCCACCTCCCTGCCAGTGCTGCTGACCTTCTAGAGCAGTACAGAGCCAGGGAGCCCTGTGGGACCCTGCTCAGTGCACCCCAGGTGCCCCCAGCCAGGAGAGGGCTTGGGTCTCTAGCAGCACCCATGGGTCTCGGAGGGGAGCAGGTGCAACGTTGCCCTAGACAGCAAGGGGAGATTACCTCCAACAGCCCCGTGCCCTCCGGCACTGGGAGGTGGGGGAAGGCTGGGGGCTGAGATCTGCTCCCCAGGTAAAGGGCACACTAGGGAGCTACCACAGAGAGGAGAGGGAGAGGTCCACAGACATACGGGGGAGCTGGGCAGGCAGGAGAAGGGAGAGGAGGAGGAGCTGAGAAAGACACGAGGCTGGTGGAGAGCAGCATGTGCTGCCGGGGCACAGCAGAGCATTGCCACAGAGGGCACTCGTGGGGGTAGAAACAAGGAGCAGATCCCTCCCGGCACCCAGAGGCTGCTACCCCCTTGTCCCCAGGGTGGCCCCAGGAGCCTGGGAGACAGCCTCCCCCACGCTGGCTCACCTGGATTGGAGGTGGAAGATCTCCTCGACCAGGTAGCAGATGCCCTTGAGCAGCACCCCGATCTGCAGGCCCACGAAGTGGGAGGTGAAGCTGTGGAAGATGGGTTTGAGGGGCTCCCCGGTGAGGTACAGCGCTGCGGCGCACAGAACCAGGAGCAGGTACACGGCACGCTGCGCTTGCCGTCCCCGGGCCTTGGGGATGAGCAAGGCGGTGGGGTGGCTTGGCTGCCACGATTCCCGAGACATCTGCGGCAGAGAGGGGGAGTCAGCAGCAATTGTTGTCCCCAGCGCTCACAGCAGCGCTGTGGGGAGCGGAGAAGGGGGACACACGGGCACATCCAGCACGAACACCCCAAAGCACGCAACAGAGCCGTCCCTTCCTTTGCGTGCTGCTGACGCAACAGAGCCGTCCCTTCCTTTGCATGCTGCTGAAACGCAGCCGCTTCTGGGGAGGTTCCCTTGCGCGCTGCACAGGCCACCTCGGGGCTGCCCCCCTGTGCCCAAATGGGCTCGGCAAGAGAGGGCCTGGCTGGCCACCCCGCTCCCAACTCAATGCCAACCCTACGCTAGCCCTCCCTGCCCCGCAGCCACCGGGCCATCACTCCTCTTGCCGCACTCACCGGAGCAGTTACCAGCCGTGAGACCAGACGCTGCCTGGGTTTCCTGCACTGCAGTTAATGGGCTCTGTGCTCCAGCCCCTGCAGCCGTGGCTCTTTTCGGAGGCTGCCGCCACAGACAGAGACCCGGACCCCCCCACGGGTGGAGCTGCACGGTTCCCAGCACCGAGAAAAATGAAAATGAAAGGACTTGTTGCAGCTGCGAGCAGCTTGCAGAAAGCACTAGAGCCCTCCCACGCAGGGCACCCATGAGGTCTCTCAGCCTGCAGGAAATCCAGGCACTTGGCAGCGCTGGGTGGATGTGGCAGGTTTCGATATGTGTGAGCTTACACCTCTGGAAAGCCCCAACGTATCTGTCAGGTCATAGTGGGGCTGAGCCGAGCTGGAATGAGGAAGGAAACCAGAATTTATTGAGATTTAATTTATTAAGTGCAGCAGATTTCAAAGACTGAATTTATTAAGTGCAGCAGGTTTCCAGGGGCGAAACAGAAGCAAATTCCTTCTAGCAGAGAGGGTGACTCACAGCACCCTGGATCCCCCCACCCCACGCAGCTCCGGGAGATGCTGGCTCGGGAGGCAGTGCCCAGCCACTGGCGACACAGCAGGGGCTTCCTGCAGCCAGCCTCCTGCTGGCCAGTAAGGGCCTCAAGCCTCTCAGGTGCATG